CAAAGAGCTTTCAGGGCTGTGGCTTTGGGGAAGCATATCGCCTGCGTTGTCTTTCGCCCAGGGGTGGTTCCAACTGCCAGACTTTCTACCAGTAGTGAATCCTTTAATCATTTGTACTATAAATTGAACATAAATAACCTAAGTGAAGAGAAAACAGAAGAAAGGATTGTATAAACATGATCAGGAAATAATTGGTGTTTATTAATTAGGTGGGGTTTACACTTCAGATCATCAATTTTGTATCTAAGAGTATAAAATATTCCTCAAATCCCCCCAAAATTTATCCTTCTCCCATTCCTTGATTTCTATTCTTCCCCTTGTGGGCTACTATCTCATATTTCCCCCAAGTTTACCCCTGTCAACAGGCTAGTCCATTATTCTTAAGCCCTAAACAAGAATATTACAACAAAATAGTTCTTAGCTACAACATCATGATCTAAAAAATGAGAAAATGATCATTGAAATTTCCAATTATTCTTTGCAAAAGAATTGCAAAACACATGACTGCGAAAATGAAAAGGCAAGCCACTGGAGGAAAATATTTGGAAATCGTAGATCTGACAAAGGACAAACTGTTCGAATGCAATGGTAATGTTCCAGTGTGAGTATTAGCTCTACATAAAAGTACTCTCAACCTATATCATTTCGATATTCATATATGTGAAGGTAGGTGATAAAACAGTGATTTTTCCATACTCCTTTCAGTATACTACACTCTCTATTTTATTGATATAGATGGTCACCACAATAGTATGTATCACAGTGACAGAATTAAAAAGAAAGAGTTTCAAGTAGGATATGTAATCACTTAGTAAGTTTGAACTAAATGAACTCATGTACCAAAATGACTTTTACCAGGAACTTTATAATGGTAACTTAAGTCTCAATAACCAGGTCTATAGGGACTCAATAAATTCTCGTAGTCTCTTCAGTGGGAGATTGATGGGACTTTCTACTCCCATAAAGAACTGCAGTCTCTGAAACTCACAGGGGCAATTCTGTTGTGCTCTGTAGGCCCTCTGTGAATCAGCATTGACTCAATGGCAGTGAGTGAGTGAGAGGAGTGAGTCACTTCAGTAAGACATACTCACTCAAAAAGATACAACCGAAGGTTCATAGACCCAAACGTCACTTCCATCGTTTAATACAAGACATATGACTATCTTCTATTTGTTTTTTACCATTTACCTTCATGTGAGCAAAACTGTTCATATTATCACAGAAAAGAGATCATTTCCCTTCACAGTTATGCAACGCATGAAAGAGAAGCCATCCCAGTAGGTGCCCTATATAGTGTCTTTTTAAAAATCATTTTATTGGGGCTCATACAACTCTCATTACAATCCATCCATACATCCATTGTGTCAAGCACATTTGTACTGTTTTTGCCATCATCATTCTCAAAAAATTTGCTTTCTACTTGAGCCCTTGGTATCAGCTCCTCATTTCCTCCCCTCCCTCCCCAAACCTCCTCCCTCATGAACCCTTGATAATTTATAAATTGTTATTTTTGCATGTCTGACACTGTCTGACATCTCCCTTCACCCACTTTTCTGTTGTCCGTCCCCCAGGGAGGGGGTTTATATGTACATCCTTGTGATCAGTTCCCCCTTTCTACCCCACCTTCTCCTTACCCTCCTGGTATCACTACTATCATTATTGGTCCTGAGGGGAATATCTGTCCTGGATTCCCTGTGTTTCCAGTTCTTATCTGTACCAGTGTACATCCTCTGGTCTAGCCAGATTTGTAAGGTAGAATTGGGGTCATGATAGTGGGGTTGTGGGGGGGGGGGAGGTATTAAAAAACTGAAGGAGAGTTGTATGTTTCATCATTGCCATACTGTACCCTGACTGGGTCTTCTCCTCCCCGTGGCCTTCTATAAGGGGATGTCCAGTTGCCTACCGATGGGCTTTGGGTCTCCACTCTGCACTCCCCCTCATTCACAATGACATGATATTTTTGTTCTTTGATGCCTGATACCTGATCCTATCAACACCTCATAATCACACAGGCTGGTGTGCTTCTTCCATGTGGGCTTTGTTGCTTCTCAGCTAGATGGCTGCTTATCTTCAAGTCTTTAAGACCCCAGAAGCTATATCTTTTGATACCTGGGCACCATCAGCTTTCTTCACCACATTAGTTTATGCACCCACTTTGTCGTCAGCGATCGTGTTAGGAAGGTGAGCATCATGGAATGCCAGTTTAATAGAACAACAGTGTTCTTTCATTGAGGGAGTGCTTGAGTAGAGGCCCAATGTCCAACTGATACCTTAATACTAAACCTATAAATATAAGAACATAGATCTAGATCTTCCTTGTTTACTAGCTTTTGTGGATGCCTCAGACCCTTTGATGCCACTTACATAGACTTTTCCGTAGTTGATTATAATGAATGCAAAAGAGAATCTGCAGAATGTGGAATTAATTTTGAGTTGGATATAACCTTATTATAAAGTACATGTCACTTATAAAACTGTCCTCTTGTAGATGACATTAATTTCTTACCTAGAGTCTTATTATTGAATGTGTTTTGTTGCTACCCACCAGAAAATGATAATAATTTTCCTCTTTTTTTTCACATGTTTTAAAACATCAAGGTTTATCTTGACTGCTACTTTTTAACATAAATACTTGGGCTTAATTGAAGTCCTAATATGTGATGTCACTTGGAATTTTGATAGTGCCCAGAAAACCTTCAAAGATACATTCCTTTTAAAAATAAAATAAAAAATAATAGAACAAAGACGTTATTTTGCATATTGGCAGAAAAGTGTTTAAGATAAGTTAGTATAAGGGGCCAATGATAAAACCTTTAAAATATAGTGAAAAAAGCTAATATGTATTTGCTTTTCTTCAAAATATCTACTGGAATGGTTTATATGTTAAAGATACAGTACAGCTATGTTTGATTGGCTAATAATTTGACATTCTAGAACAGCAAAATTAGAATTGATCCCAAGTCAGAGTTCTCTCTCTTTTTAGAAAATGGTGATAACAAAATAATTATTAGTATACATTTACATAAAGTTTTGCACATGGTTTAAAATCGAGAAAGGCATGTGTCAAGGATGTATCCTCTCACCACACCACGAGGCTAAATGTCTTGGTGCCTTAGGGACCCTAGCTGTCTTCCAATTGTCACTCTTGGAGCAGCTTAGTGTCAGTCACATCATTAGCATAAGGGACCGGAAACAAACCAAAGTATCACACTTACTACCGTGAGTCAATGTCGACTCATTGTGACCCTATAGGGCAGCGCAGAGCTGGCCTGGTGGGTTTCCAAGACTGTAATTCTCTTCAGGACTCAAAAGCCTCCCCTTTCTCCCAAGGAGAGGCTGGTGGTTTCTAACTGCTGACCTTTCAGGGAGCAGCCCAATGTGTAGCTACTCTCCACCAGGGAGCCTGAAAGGAAAAAAAAAATGGTTAGAAATAGGAGTTAGATCTGATGCATACACTAATTTCCACTCTATGTAGGAAGCCACATTATTTGTTATTTTCTTATTAAACCAAAATGGTTCTCAATGTTTTGATCAGCCTCAAAGAATAAGACTTCCTTCTGATCCCTGAAACTTTTTTTAATCGTTTTATTAGGGGCTCATACAACCCTTATCACAAACCATACTACATCAATTGTGTAAAGTACAAAAACATTTGCTCTCCACTTAAGCCCCTGGCATCAGCTCCTAATTTTTCCCCTCCCTCCCCACTCCCCACTCCCTCATGAACCTTTGATAATTTATAAATTATTATTTTGTCATATCTTGCCCTGTCCGACCTCTCCTTTCACCCACTTTTCTGTTGTCCATCCCCCAGGGAGGAGGTCACATGCAGATCCTTGCAATCAGTTCCCCTTTTCCAACCCACCCTCCCTCTACCCTCTCAGTATTGCCATTCACACCACTGGTCCTAAAGGGATCATCCACCTGGAGTCCCTGTGTTTCCAGTTCCTATCTGTACCAGTGTACCTCCTCTGGTCCAGCCAGACTTGCAAGGTAGAATTGGGATCATGATAGTGGAGGAGAGGAAGCATTAAAGAACTAGAAGAAAGCTGTATTTTTCATTGTTGCTACATCGCACCCTGACTGGCTCGTCTCCTCCACGAGACCCTTCTGTAAGGGGATGTGGTAGGCTGAATGCATGTTTTGCATTACTCTCTACAAGTTTAGATGATTTTGATTGATTTTCAAAGTAAATTTTGTAGTCAGTCACTGCCAGAGAGCCAAAACTATCTCACAGAGACCGTATAGAACAGAGTAGAACTGTTCCTGTGGGTTTCCAGGAATTATTTACAGGAGTAGAAAGTCTCATTGTTCCAGCAGAGCCATTGGTGGTTTTGAACTGCTGACTTTGCAGGTAGCAGCCCAAGTCATTCTCAGGCTAACAAAACTCTGCTTTTCCTCATTTGTTCTCTGTTGGGTCAGCCATAGTTGGTAGCCATATTGTGGATTCTTCTCTCTTACTCCAAATCAAGTCAACCCTAGTTGGTACCAAACGATGTTCTATTTCATCAGTCTTCCCGAGCCCCAAAGCAAACCCATTGCTTCAAACTGTGGACCTGTGGGTAGCAACGCAGCATGTAACCCCCGGCACTGCTAGTACTAGCATATCAAAATGAGGACTGCACCTACAAGCATTAGCCAATATGCATACACATTATATGGGGGTAAAATAATATTAGTATGTAATATATTTATGTATTTTGTGTATCTGCCTATAAGCTACTAATTAATGGGGAGGTGTATGTAAAGTTTTCCCAGTAAGGGTAAAAATATGTTTTATATATATATATATAATTACTATATATATTTATAAAATTAATTATATATATAATTATTAAGGCCAGAAACTATCCATTTCCTTCTACAGTACTTTTTAATTAGGATTGTTGAGGAAATAGACATATGACCAACTGGAAGATTAATTGAAAAGTAGGCGAGGCTGATAGCAGTAATGTTAAATGTTGTCTCTTCAGAAGTATTGATTATTCTCTCTGCTGTAGATCACTTCAAATTGACTGGGTGTCTCCAGGGAAGCCAAATGGCATCATTCTTGGATACGATCTCTTACGGAAAACATGGCATGCATGCCCCCAAACTCAGAAGTTAATGAATGACCACAAGCGTGCTCAGTGCAGAGGAGTGCGGTGTCAAAAACCTCAAGACATCTGTGGACACATTTGCTATTCTCCTGAAGCAAAGGTAAATCTTCCCAAACTAGTCAGTGAAATATACTTTTCTCACTAAACCCACTTGCTTCTTCAACCGTCATCTATCACAGTCAATACTTCCTCTAGTTTATCAAGAAGAACTCATGGAGAAGAAAGGATGCTTATAAAAATCCTATCATCCTCCTGAGCTTTTTACCTCTCTCATTTTTCATCACCTTCACACAAAATATTAATTTACTGGTATGAAAGGAGCCTCCCAAATTTGGACCGATTGAGTAATTCTCTTTACAACAAATCCATTCGCCCTCTCCTTGCACCTAGGAGGGTGTTTGTGTACATGAACCTGATGAGTAACTGTGGACAGGTCCTGTGGTGGTTTTCACAAATATTTTTATATCATGGTCATTTGCAGATTAATGCTCGTATTCGTTGCAGTTTAGGAATCAGATCAATAATACAGCCAGACAGAGGAGTTTGTAAATGGTTTTTATTGACATACAATGCAGGAAATCCTTATTTGAAGGTAGGATTTCATATAATGAAATAATGTTCCTATTTGTCAACAACAACATCACACATTTGAAAACTAAAGTGACTATTAAATTCATAAGATTTACTGCAAAAGAACATGGTTATAAAGGAAGTGAGCTACTGAAACAATTTGGAACAAAATACAAATTACTATGGCTGACACAAGTTTAGCAGTTATTAACATCTAAGAAAGATCATAAATCTAGGAGTTACTAGCTGTGTGCGTGCGTGTGTACGTGCATGTGCGTGTGTGTAAGATATACAAAGGGACTTCAAAAATTCCTGAGAAAATTCCATTACCTTTGAATTGCACTTTTCTATGTAAACTTTCTAAGCCCTTTTATATGTATTTTTTTATATACTTAGTCCCTAAAGTTATGATTATGCATAAGTTTTGTATCATTTTACATCATTAAATGCATCCTCCCTTATGAAAACACATGTAAAATTAAATTCATATTTCTGAGAGAGGAAAAAATATGGAAAATACTGCCCATTAAAGGTGAATCCGAGGAGAAAGACATATACCTTGGAAAAATGATAGGCAAAAGCTAACACTACGTCACACAGACACATATATGTACATACATTTGGGCCAGAACCTCGGCTGGTTGTGTTGGTTTTGAATAGAGCCTTCGACAGTGTTCACTGGTGAAAGCGCAGCCACGGCGCTACCAGGGCTCCTGAGAGTCAAACCAGCCAAGCTAGCGTCTCCGTTTAAAGTTTATTCTAAAACATCAAAAGCTAAATAACCTTCCCATGTCCAATTTAATTAAAATGAGCGAGCTGTGGAATGAAGGCAAACAGCCACAGCATCAATAGAGCATCCTAGTCTAAAATGTCTATGAGGCTAAATTATTTATAAAACCACTGCGATCTTTCTTTTCACTTTGATTTCAGAGGCTGCGCTGGGGAAGAGTTTGAGAAATTTAATAAATCTTTGCAGCTGAATAGAATAAATGATCACTTATTAAGTTCAATCTTTTTTAAGTTCACTATTTTTTTCAGAAAAAGAAACCATTTAGACCAATTGTAAATAAACATAAAATGAAGATTCAAGCCAAGCCAAAATATGTTTTTCAAGGGCAGGGGCTACTATGATATCAAAAGAAAATGATATAGATTATCTTTTCTAGAAAATAAATATAAATTGAAATATGAGGGAAATGAACTTTAACCTTTAGGAAACTGGCATGTGCAAACCTCATCCAATGTGCTGAGAAGAAGCATTGCTTTCCTCCCGTCTCATCATACGGATGTTATGTACTGTTAAAAAGGGACACGGTAATAAGTGCCTTGCAAAGTCTTGTTTTCTCATTTTATTTTAAGGATTAAGGGCTCATTCCAAGTATTACCAGTTAGAGTGAATAAAGGAAGTCCATCTAAAATATCAAAAGGAAAGATCATCTATACATTAATATTTGGAGTTAATCTACACTACCAAGGGACTTCAAATAGTCTGTGGGAAAAATGGAATTGAGGAATAATTGAATTTTTCCACTCACATTTTCTTGCATGGAAAGTTGAGGGGAGATAAAAGCAAAGTTTCATTGAGTTAAAAAACCTGGTGGCTAAACCATGGCAAACATACAAATTTAACACCAAACTGACTACCATGGAATCAATTCTGATTCATAGGATGGGTTCTAGTTGTCCCTGTGGGTTTCCAAGACTAACTTTATGGGGGTGAAAGCCTCATGTTTCTGCTGCAGAATGACTGGTGGTTTTGGACTGTTGACCTTGTAGTTTACAGCCCAGTGCATAACCACTAGACCACCGAGACCCCTCCTCTAAGCATCAGAAGGACCCCAAATACGAGCATAGCCCTGAGATCACGGTCCTAGTTCCCAAACTCAAAGGAGCATCAAGTCTGCAGGTTTGTGGAGTCCCATCGTGAGAGGCTCTGGTCTACTAGGTCTGGGGAAGACTCTAGACTTTACATTGCTGGCACCATCTTGGATGCTGCTGCTAAAGGAGGATTTGGGGCAAGTGCCATAAAACCAGTGAGAGGTACTTGCTATTTTACCATAAAGGCATTAATTACTAGCATTTTTAGATGCCCCCCCCCCACCCCAAACACAAAGATAAAATGTCAAAACTGATTTTTTGTTTAACTCTTTCAAAAACAGACAAACATTTTAGAATTTACCTTGTGCCCAGAATATGACACCGAAGAGCAGAGTGGCCGGTTGCCCCGTCGAACTTGGTTTATTTTGGATCCTGGCAGCTACTAAGGAAAGGGAGGGAAAGGGATTCCTTCCCACAGGTTTAGCAGGACGGCCTGAGGAAGCACAAGAGTCGAATTGCCATTTCAGAGTTTAAATTCTTCGCTTTTTAAGAACTTTTGAAAAAGAAATGAAAGACTGCACTTATGTCCCCCTTTGGAGACTTGGGAAGCAATCCCACGTGCTACGCTCTTTTTGCGAGCTTAGTTCAGATGTTGAAGCAGACTGGATGTAGCAGTAAACAAAAAGAAAAAGGAAAAAAAAAACGCTTCTCCAACCATGGTTCATTTTTGCCTGCCACAGGATGCATCTCTCTAATTAGTGTAACTTACGCCAAGTATAGGTTCTAAGACTACATTTCAGCCACTGTTCAGTATTTGATTTGTCACATAGACAGAGTGTCAATCTCTCAGCCCTAAAGCGAACATGCAAATAATCATTTGATTGTTCAAGCACATGATTTCTTCCCAGCTCCTGGAGAAAATAGAGTTATAAGGGCTTTTCAAAATTAATTTCCATATAAATTTCTTTTTTTTTTAATGTGGTAACCTCAAATCTGTATATAGAAGCTGGACTCTGTGGAGATTGCATTGTCTGAAGATTGGGTTCATAAATAAGTGATCATATAAATAATAAGAAAAATGCAATTTGTTAAAAGAAAACGAAGGATCAGGGAGAAACCTAGCTCCATAGATGTGGTGTTTTCAAATTAAATAATCATTAAAATAAAAACATGTATATGAAGGAAATTGTTCATTTACAATTCTAAATCGTCTTTAAACTGAAAGCACTGACATTCAAAAGATAATTCATATTTATGGAGTATTATAATAGACGATAAAGCATGGTTGAAACTAAAATAAGTTGCATGATATCAAATGGCAGCTATAGACTTCTAATGCTGGCCATTCTTTTTTATTTTTTTTAACTTTGTTTTAGTAATATGCTGCATTTGATTTCAGATCAGGGACCTGTGAGGGAATGATTAATTCGCATGGGTTATGGCAGTATAGGAATCCTCATTAAGCTGATACTTCTTTAAGAGCCGACTTCCAACTTTCAGGTTTGCTGTAATGGAGTCCTCCACAGCGCCCAGCCAGAGCACAGCTGTTGTGAAGAGAAGTATTTGCCACTCGCCAGGAGTTCAACAGCAGTGTGCTGTGGTGGCCGAATCCGAGAGGCACGACCAAACCACCAGTGCTGCTCTGGGTATTATGCTAGGATTCTACCAGGTGAGGATCTTTTCCGGGTGGGGTTAATCATTGTGAGCCCCTCAAAGTGAGGGTGCAAGGCTCACATCAGTGACCTCTTTCACACCTACACACCATACGCCAGCAATGGAACCCCTGCCACATATCCACAGCGACATATCATTTCAACTCTCTGCTTTGAGGAAGTATCAGTTGGGCTGGTAGCATAATGGGTACACCTTGACTGCTGTCTGGGAATTCTGCAGTTTGGTAAAGACTTACCATCCTCATAATGCTATGGAGCAGTTGTACACTGTCCTGTGGGGCTGCTGGCAGTTGGACCTGACCCCATGGCACCGCATTTGGTTGTTTGGAAGCTACAAGTAAATAAAGGAGGAGCACTGTGCTTTGTGGAACGCTACATTGGTTAGTCACACACAACATACAGCGATTCGTCTGCTCATCTTTATGGGAACAGAGGGCTTCTTCTTTCTCCCTAGGGTTGCCTGGTGGGTTTGAACCACTCACCTTATGATTAGCAGCCCAACATGTAAGCCACTGGGATTCCGTGAATAGCTAGATCACACCCTTTATGTTGTGACTTTCTTTTAGTCACACGGCAAATCTCTTCTCCATCCACTCTGCGAAGAATTCAGGGTCCCACTATGCCCGCATCACGTGGGATGAATTATAAACATTATAAATTATAATTATAAACTCTGATTCTCTGAGCATTCTACTCCAGTGTCTGCACCCGCTCCTTGTACTAATTTGAACAGGGGCAAGTAGGATACAGTCAAAACAGGATTTTGCCCTCTTTTGTAGCTGTCCACCAGATTCCACTACCAACACAATGTATCTGAGAGTTGTGATAATAACAGGAAGAAGGCTAATGAGGATGATACAGCATTTATGAAATTCAAAGTCACTAACAGGTATTTTATTTAAAAACCAAATATACCAAACTCGTTGCTGATGAGCTGATTGAGACTCATGGAGACCCTATACAAAAAACTAAACCAAACTCACTGCCGCCCAGTTGATGCCAGCTCCTGGCAACCCTGTAAGACTGGGTAGAACTGTCCCCGTGGGTTTCTGAGACGGACTCTTTGTGGGCATAGAAAGCCTCTTCTTTCTACCTCAAAGTAGCTAGTGGTTTTACACTACTGACCGTGGTTGACAGCCCAGTTCTTAATCAATGTGACAGCAGGGCTCCTACCAGGACTCTTGAGGACCGCGTAAAGAGGTCTAGATGGTTTCTAAGACTATAACGCTTTATGGAAGCCGATCGCCACATCTTTCTCTTTGGCATGACAAACAGGGTCAGAACACCAAGCTTTCTGTTAGCAGCCAAGTGCACTGCCAGAGCTGCGCTTTATACGATATGCTCCATAGAGTCTTGATATCTCTCAGATGTTGGTCTTGTAGATCCAGTTTATGAATAAGGGAACAGATTCAGAGTGGATCGCTGGTATACCCAGGAAAAGTTAATGTCCTAATCTAGGCATGTCTCCCTAAAATCAATACTCCTTTCAGTCTTGTGCTAGTATCAATTGATTCCAGCTAATAAAAACCCCATGGATATCATGGCAGACCTGGACTAAATAGGATTTTTGATGGTTGGTGTTTTGGAAGAAGATTGCCAAGCTTTATTACAAGGTGCCTGTGGTAGTTACATAATCTAGTATCAATTTGAGGATTAAGAGTATAAGGGTGGAGTCCAGCCTGTCAATCAGGATATAGCCCGTGAGGCCATGAACCCGAAGGATTCAGGGAACTCCTGTAATCCTCCTTGGAGGTGTGAGACACTCTCTCTCTCTCCTCACTCCCTGGGAGACATCCCTTTGGGGAAGACACATGTAGAAAGGCTGATGGAGCCAGACCTCTGGAGACCCCTGCCATTGCTGAGATGCTTACAGTGCCACTGGCTCCACAAGACTTGCCACCCATTGGCCTGTGATATCCCTGCATTCAGTGTCATGGCATGTGTACCATGAGTCTGAAGATTTTATAGATTGCTATTGGACATATGGGTTAATATCAAACTTGATATAGACTGGGCTGGGATTTTTTCTCAATATTCAACTGCTCTTGTATATGAAGCTCGTTCTTACACACACATATGAGTGTCTATGGATTTCTTTCTCTGCTCTACCCAGACTGACACAGTGCCTCTAAAACCATGAAACTCACTGCCATTGAGTCAATGCCAATTGAGAGTAGGCTCAAATTGCCAAACTCTGAGTGAGCAGGGGAGAATATGCACTGTTTGTACCTCACAAGAACTACTTGAGTACTCTCCTGACATCTATGTACCCCACACACGGTTAACATGTGTTAACCGTTTTTAATGGCTAGGCAGGATTCCTAAACATATTTATTGGTGCCAATACCAATTACTCTTCTAATGCTGTGAAAAGTCATTGAGATTGCTTTTTATTTCTCGACCACCTAAATTTTATATTCATGTCTTCTTTAACACACACACATTCAAAGGAAAAGGATAGGAGAAAAAGAAAGGAAAAGAAATATGGTGGAAGACGTTAGGAGCACTGAGTGGTTGGCAACATCTTGTTTAACTTGAAATGTCTGTCAAGCTGGTTAATTCAGGCACTAACTGTGTAGTGTGCCTTGTATTCAGTATAACTACATGCAGCCCAGGTCTGGAGCTTGCGTGCTTGTCTCACCCAGTGTCTACTGTACAAAACACTGGGGCAAAAGTGGACAGTGAAGTGATTAAATATTAGGTAGGGTTATTCCATGAATTGAATTTCTACTAATCATCATTTTCCCTTAAGATTAATGTTTTAATTTTTTTGCTAGAAGTGGTGTTACTTATGGTTCTTAAGCAAAAAAACAAAAACTTTCATAATTTCCTAACAAAGTTTTCCAAATAAGAAAATAGGACATTGGTGGAAATAAGGATTGCATAGAAAAGTGTGAATGTCTCAATACGGTCATGTGTTAACAACTAATAAAATATCACCAAATATTTTTACTGCCTCAAAATAAATCATATTTAGGGAGTCATCAACTGTATCTCATCTTCCTGCAAAAAAAAATGCTTTAAAAACTTTAATTATGTAGATGAATTGGAAAATTGCTGTTAATATATTTTACCATATTATATACCAATAGACCATATTAGGAACTCTTGCCCAAGTTTAGCATAAACTAAATATTGGTATCTTCATTTCTAATTCACATACCTTTTTTGAAATTTATGATATTCAATTAACTGTTCAAACTCTGACGAATATCCTCTGGCCATCAACATTTATGAAAAACAGCTAGTCATATTTATCTTTGCTTTTATGTCGTAAGAGATTTGCCTGTCATCCTGCTCAATCATCACACCTAGTGTCCAATTTTGAATGTAAAGGGAAAAATATGCTATTGTTCTGTTTCAAAATAAAATTCAGCATTACTCCACTAATGTTCTCAAGAACATCTGTGAAGCAAGCCATGGAAGTCCAAAGGTGGTTTTGGACATGATGCGAACTTTTCAGTGAGTGATTGTACAACACGAATTTGGAACCACGCACAGTTGTCTCTGTAGTTGGACACGCTCCGGGTGGTCAGGCATCCTCAAGTCTCTTCCAGCTCCTAGTGACCCCACGGGCCCACGTCACCCTCACCGTTGTGCTTGTGTTTGCGCCCATTGTGGTAGCCCTTGGGTGAATCCATCCTGTCAAGGGTCTTCCTCTTTCACTGCCCCTCCCTTCCACGTAACCCACCACAAATCTCTTTTCCAGACATTTCCTGATACTGTGTCCAGCGTATGTGAGATGGGGGTGAGACTTTGTCTCACCTGCTCATTAGCCCTGAAATAGAATTTCAGATTCTACCTAACTGTGTAGCAAACCCCACATTCACATTCCTTTCAAGTAGTTCGTTTTCCATAGTATTAGAATGCTTACCAAGATATCTTGAGGAAAAATTGCAGTGTCATGGGATAATCAGAGAGTGTTTTGTTATGATCATTAATTTCAATATACCTAAATGAAAAGCTTATATTGTGACCTCTCCTTAGACAGTGGTCTTTGTTAGCTAGTTTAGCCAATGTTTACTTCAGGGGAAAAAAAAAAAAAAGCATAGCAACCCCAAATCATCCTGTATGTGAACGTAATTAAAGTTCAATCAGCAGCCTGCCAGATCATAACTGAGAGAAGCATAAGCATTTTGATATTTATAGGTGAGCTGAAAATATTGGTTAATTATATTTACTTCATTTTTTCCCTCGCGACTTTGCTCTGGAGCACCCCTAACAAAAAGCAGCAGAGCAAGGCATGCTCATCACAGGCACCCTTTGTTATAAATATGCTAATGACCTCAAGCTAAATGTTAATGTGGGTCATTCTTTGATAAGAATAACAATTAACTGTAGCTTTTAGTGAGAAAACATTTTCAAGCCTGGCCTGAAATAGATTCATTTTGAGAAGTTAATGAGAAGGTGACGGATCCTTGGATCTTATGTCTAATAGACCCTTTTTGAGAGACAGTAAAAAGGTATCCTATTGGTGCAGTGGTTAAGCATTTGGCTTCTAACTAAAAGGTCAGTAGTTCAAACCCACCAACCTGTTCTTGCTTTCAAAAGGATTACAGGCTAGAAAATCCTCTGGGGGTAGTAGCTGTAGGATAGCCACAGAAATGACTCAATGGCAAGGGTTTTGTCTGTTTTTTCCACCCATATAATCTGTATCACTTTTTATAACAATAACCAAGTAAAAGTCCGAGGGATTTAGGGAAATATAGCTAATATATGTAAACCATTATGATACGCCATATGAATGATTGTGACTTTCCCAAACACTGTGCTTTCTCTACCTTATCCTGCTACCACCACCCTGTCCTGCTACCAGGACACCCTGTTGATTCTACTCCAATCACAAGGCCCCTGCCCATATCAGAGGAGAACTGTGCTCCCTTGGTTTGTCAATGGGTGACTTTTCACCAGCGCATCACTAGGGCCTTCTTCCAGAGCACCTCTGTGGACTTGAACTGCCAGTCGTTTGGTTGGTAGTCAAGAGAATCAGCCATTTACTCTACTTTGATACTCTATCCTTATCTTTGCTGGTATTTAATTAAATGGACATGGCTGCTGTAAATATGGGCCATAATGTTTAGAGAATAGTCTGCCTACAAGCTACATTTCTGACTGGATAGAAGAGATATAACCCAAAGAGATATAACAACTATAGTGATCTTACTATTATAGTAAGTTCATTCCTATTTCATTGGCATCTGCTACCAGCATGCTGGAAAATTCATGAAATTGCCTTCTGCTATAAACACCATGTTGTAGGATCCTTTAAAAGAGAACTGACTAATGCAATTGTCCTCTGAAATTCCTATTCTAGGAATCCTTATCTCAGAAAAAAATGGACTATTTCTCCTGGGTATTTACTCTATAGAAATTAAAGGCAAAACACGCACAAAAAAAGTGTTTATACTAACATGTTCATGGCAGCTTTTTTTGAAATGCAAAAAATTGGTGGGGGAAAAAAACATGTCATTGAGCAAATAAATGACCAAACCAGTGGCCATCCATAAAAATGAATACTACTGAGCAATGAAAAGGAACATCCTATTGCTACAACCCCAAAAGACCTGATGCTATGTAAAAGAAATCAGCCTCAGAAAGCTACGAACTGTGAATCCATGTTATGATATAATGAAAAAGACAAACTGTAGTGGCGGAAATCACAACAGTGGTTACTAGAGCTGTGGGAAGGAGGGAGGAAGGGGTAAATTTATAAGAAGCCATGGCAGCGTTTGGGAGAGGCATGAAGTTATTTTGTATCCTAACGGTAGCCATATGTTTCAATCAATAGAACTCAACCCCCCAAGAGGGCAACTTTACTGAAAGATATTTTTAAAACAAAATTAGGAAAACACTGTATCTCTGAGGTCTCTTTCTGTTTTTCAACTAGGAAAAGTGAGACATAGAAGCATTGCCAAATCACTCAGCCAGGGGAAATTGGGATTTCCATGAACAAATAATAGAGATATACACTAGCACGATAGCTTACTTCTTATAACTCCACATATGTTTCTGATATATGTAGATAGAAAAGAAAACAGGCAGCTGTTCCTCCATCAAAATTATGATGCTAATTCTACTTTAAACAAGTGGTTGCCAGGGAACTGGTCCTGCTCCGAGACTGGACTCCTTAGTTTTGTTTTTATGATCCCTTTCTAATGATACAAAAAGTCTCATGTTGTATATTAGCGGCTTGATGCTGAGCACTTAGGAGTAAGATCATGGACTGCAGAGTCAGATTGCCTGACTTCATAACCCATTTCTTTCATTTCTTAGTCCTTTCACCTTCACCGAGTTACTTAACTAAGTCATATTAGTGGGGGACCAATATCTCGAATGTCCACTGCTGAGTTAGAGCCTCCAAAGTTCGCATGATGCTTCATGTGCAAAAAGGAAAGTTTACAGAAGTGGAAGAGAACGCAGGGAAAGAAGGGTATTGGGAATCCTAAAAGGGAGAGAAGACTGTCTTTAATCATTCTGTCTACAAGACGGGCACAGTGTGTCTGCAATCAAAAGAGTATACTTGCGAAAAGGGATAGCTAGTTCCCAAGAATTAGAAAGCATGGTGTCCTATGAGAGAGAAAGAAGCAAAAACAAAGCAAAGCAAAAACCTTCCAAGTTGAATTTGAGTAATTGGTGAGAGAGTTACAAATATCTTACGGGGGAAGAAAATTTTCTGTTTACATTATATCATACCCGAGGAGATAGGCATTAGAAAATGAATGCACTTCTTTTTGACAAAATTGATGTTGGAAGACATTTTGCCCCTTGCCTGCTACCACCATCAACAAATAGAGGAATCAATGTTTTCAGGCCTCTAGCTTGGAAGCGTCACAGAAGATCATGCACAGCTTGTCCAAGACTGCGGTCTCTGAGTGGAAATCACGTGTCTCCTAGTGTCACCCTTTCCCGGGGCAGCCGCCACAAATTACCACAAACTCAGTGGCGTGAAGCACCACTTTTTGTTTGTTTGTTTAATCTTAGTTCTCAAAGTCAAAATTCCAAACGGGCTGAAACCAAGGTGTCAGGAAGGGCACATTCTTTCAGGAGGCTCTAGAAGGAAACCGCTTTCCTTTTCTCCCCAGCTTCTGCAGGTTCAAAGCCTCTGTTGGCATGAGGGCCCCTTTGATCCCCAAAGCCAGCAGTGGTCACACTGCGTTTTCAACCTGATCCTCTTTGCCTTGCAACATACCCTAAAAACAAAGCCCAGGATTCAGACCAGGACGTCTTTGGGATGTCATTATCTTCCCACCACATTAAAGTTATGGGGAAGTCACTGTGAGAAGGAAGAGGCCACTTCTGTGAACTCTGGGACATAACTGGGTCCCAAATGAATGCAAAAGATGCTGTGTCTTTGTGTACAAAGATATGTCAAAAATACCGAGCTCTAAAGTTATGAGCTCAGTGGGGTGGAGATAGAATGGCATGAGAGGTAGGGACAACCTAGAGGTGAGGAAACACAATCTTGCTAATAGCCCTTAATTCTTATACCAACGTATTCCACATTTTGGATGGGATGAGCAACGTACCAGGAGCGCTAGAACAATGCACAGCAAGTCCTTCCTAGAGATGTGTATATACAATATATTGCAGTTACAGCAAAGTCTCCTTTTCTTTGGACTAATTACAATGGAATGATAATAATTGTGACCTTTAAGTGTTCAGTCCATTCAATGGGTCCCACATCTCACTGGTCTTTAGTCAAGAGGCTCTCAAAGATAGAATCAAGGTCTGATAGGGTCACAGAGCCATCAGGTAGACAGTCATCAATCTTTGCCATCATCAGATGATACACCTGAGCTCTTCTCCTAGAAATACGAGAAAGTGGTTTTCCTGTCCACATTTCACAGTAGTAGCCATTGACAAAATAGATCTTATCCCGAAAGATTTCATGGAACCGATTTACTGCACAGAAAGATGCACGGCTATGAGAAAGGGCAAAGATAAAGAAGTGTCCTAGGAAGGAATGATGTAAAGGCAGAAGGGTTTATATTGGACAGTGAAGTACTAATACCAATTAGCTATGAAGCCTTCTGTTTTCCTGCTTGCATGGAATTTGCTCCTTTTTAAATTGAACACATCTCCCTTTCCAACCAAAAGGACAGTTGTGGACAAACAGGAGCCTATTTTCCTTAGCTTAAGACAGTGCTTCTCACACTCACCATTCCGAGGACTATTAAAATCCACAACCATGTAAGAAGTACACACAGAATATAAACAGAATGTGCAGCTTTCTTCCTTGAAGTTTTGCTGTAAGAGAGAAAAAGTCCAACTGAGTGCATCGATATGGATAGTGATGGAGATGCTTTTTATTCTGAGGAAAGAGACTTCTACTACACCATGGACCGTACTTCCAGTAGCCCAGGTCAATAACAGGTTCATCCTTGGTCTTGAGGAGAACTCTACAGAGGTATAACAGCTTTGGATATCACTTTTCAAACCGTTCGCACTATTTTCTCTAGTATTGGGAGGCCATTTGTCTTATAAATCTTAAAAATGAAAGAGTTTCCATCTTGTTAACATTGAGATGGAAAGTCTGTCTTGAATTCAGTTAGCCTTATCAATTTGAGGACCAATGCCTACGCTTGAGATATGAGCCAAGCTTAATTTCTGCAAGTATTCCTTAGAATATGGCTGAATTCAAGCCAGAAAATGGTATAAAGGGGACTGCAGGTGTAGCAGCAGTCATGAAATTCATTGCCTACCATAGCTCAGCAGAGAGCAAGTGTGCTGATTACTCCACAATGTTTTTACCTCCCTATACTTAAAAAAAATACATTTAGTTTGGTTGCAGAAATTATACTCATAAGCAACATATGTAAATTTGTCACTGGTTAGTTTAAGAATCTATTTCCACTTGCTTACAGGAAAAAAAACCTCTAGTAAATTATAATACTCTAAAAAAGGTTCCTTGACAAATTATTATGCAATGTCAATTAATCCATGTCACTAGTCTTAATGTGCTTTGAATTTGGAGAAGACAGGAGATAAGCAACTTACCCATAACTCTGAATTGTTATTTGTGTGTACACCCACTTATATAACTTTATTGCATCCATGAAATGAAACTGCATTCAGATTTTGCAAACCCCAATTTGACAACAGGTGTTCTAGTGGTTGTGCCCATCAATGGGGATCTTCAGGATGATCATGATAAGATTCGGCTGTAAGTCACAGCAGAGTTTTAAACCCATGCAATGACTGCTATTGTACATTGGCAGGTGAAATATGTTGTCCAGATGAACAGCACAACCGGGTTTCTGTTGGCCGTGGCGACGCCTGCTGTGGCAGAATGCCATACTCCACCTCGGGACACCAGATTTGCTGTGCTGGGAGGCTCCACGATGGTCACGCCCAGCAGTGCTGTGGTGGGCAGATTGTGAGCAGAGAGTTAGAGTGCTGCGGTGGAGAAGACGAGGGTGCGGTGTTCACTCGCCTCCCAGGTAAGGAGTTCAACCTAGTCAACCTTTTCAGTAGGTAGAGGGACTTCAAGCAGAGGGGCATGAAACAAATCCTTAAAATTTCACTTGAATTCAATGGAATGCAACAATGGGGCATAGATTACATATAGATCCTGCCTCACATTTTTGATGTAGCTGATGCATTTCATAGATAGGGATTAAAATTAAAATTAAATTCCAAGAGGAACTTGGAAAGTGTTATGTCTACCAAAATTAAGAAAGAAAAGAATGAAACTAATTATACACACATGCATTTGTTCTTGATCAAGATGATATTTCCTACCAGATACTAACAGTAGACAAAGGTATCATGATGATACCATGCTATTATTCTTTTAGTGTCATCTAAAAAACATTATCCTTGTGGCCAATCGGACTCCAGGCGAGTGGCCCCATATGGCAAAGAGTAGACCTGCTCTACAGGGCTTTCTTACTAACAATCTTTTTCTTGATTATAATCTTTATGGAAGCAGATCACCAGGCCTTTCTTCACAGGCTGGTGGACTTTCCACTGCCAAAATACAAGTTAGTAGTTGAAAGCAAATAATGTGTTCCACTTGTGCACTACCATCAAGTCAATGCTAACTCGTACTGATCATATAGGACAGGCCAGAGCTGTCCCTGTGGGTTTTGGAATGTGTAACTCTATAGGAGAATAGAAAGCCTCCTCTTTCTCCCACAGTGTGGCTGGTGGTTTCAAACTGCTGACCTTGCAGTTAGCAGTGCAGTGCGCTACCACTAGGCCACCACAGTTCCTCATATTTGTGCCAAAAATAGCACTAAGATTACGGCAATCATTATTGATTGAATATTTACTACTTCTAACTAGGCCCTGTGTCACATATTTCATAAGTATTATTTTCATTTATCTTTACAACAATATTTCACAATAAGCTCCATTATTGTCCATTTTTTATCAATAAGGAAACTGCGGCATAGAGATTTGAAATTTTCCTAAATTATATACCTGGTCAGATGTATATTTTCTGGAACCTGAAGCTAAGTAATACTCATTATAAAAGCAAAACACAATATGAAAATGAATGTGTATGTGGAGTGGGAAAATAAATTACAAAATCATAAAAACTGTAAACTACATATTTAAAAAAATGACAGATCTTACTAACAGAAAAGGTAGCATGTCTGTGTTATATAATCCATGACTTACCTCTGTGCTTTTGTACTCAACATCTTTATCTGATATGCTGGATCACTTGTTCTTATAACAATGGTTCTGTATCACTATCATCTATAGAAAGAGTAGGAAGATCACTCAGTCTTCCTTCGTATACAATTAGTGAACATTTATTTTAGGTTTGTTTGTTTAATCAATTGGAGTTTAGCAAGTTCCCTTTCACTTAGACAACTCATTATCATAATGTTACACAAATGTTTTGAATTATTGTCACAATTCAAGGAATCCCTACCCAGTTTCTTTCTGTAAGATTCCAGGGTATTTCAGTAACTTGCCATAAGTGTGTATGGACCTGGCAACATCATTAATAATTTATCTGGAATATCATTTTTGTTTAACTGAATTTGAGTTGTATGTAACCATAGATGTCAATGTTATATGCAAAAGATGCAAGAAATATGTTTTGCCAATGCACTTAAGAGTTTCTCTTCTTCACAGCTTGTGTCAAATGATCAAATTGCTTATGCATTGCTTCCATTCTATACTCATCGTTTTCTTTAATGGATTACTGCTTTTTGGTTTTATCTGAAATTAATTTTGCTCCTATTTTCTTCTGTACATCAGAATAATTTCAATTGATTCCATTGTTCAATTTTATAGCTTTTGTGATACAGCTCATCATTTTTTTCTACCTGATCTCATTTTTTAAAGCTTCAAATTGCATCTGTAGATACAAACTAGGAGTCAGTAACTTTTGCATGCCTATTCTTCCAAATTGTAGTTAAAATAACATATTTAAGCTTTAACAACATTTTATAGAAGTGATTGAAAACATAAATATAGCTGCTGAACCCAAATTGAATGTTTCCCAACTCAATTATCCTTAGTTAGAATCTAAAAATACCCGTGGCCACTCCAACCCCAATCAATGTGAGGTCAAATTATGACAGAGGACAATTTAAAGGGACAGGCAAGAGTAGTCACAAAAAATTATACTTACATATTATATTTTGCAACTTTTATTGAAAAAAATCCCCAATGACCCTGGGTGCCTTTGAAGGGGTACAGGCAAACAAAAAGTTCAAGTTCAGCTTCCATTAGATTCCTGGTATATCTATCCCTGCAATGATTAAGTGTTGACATTCCAGTTCCAATCTTAGTATTGTACATTTCTGAAGAAGTTGCAAAGAACATGGGAGGAGATACGGGGAAATTTTATTGGCCAGGTCTGGATGTATCAAGTATTTTTATTAGCATCCCATTGTCTGGAACTCTATTCTTTGTTCACACCTGAATGGAAAAAGTCTGGGTGACTTGCCCCACAATCTCTGTCGCTGTAGCAAGAATGGTTTCTAACTCATCCAAAAATCTAGTCTCTGCTTTTAACCTCCAGCAGTTAAATTGCTTGATACATGGAAAAGTATTGGAGATATGCCAAACTCAATCCAGATCTATTTTTTTTCAAGCCTGATGAGTAGACCCTACATAATATAATCCTCTATGTACAAGTATATTCTGAATGGCCAAATATAAGGAGAGTCGTTATTGATACTGCGCTTGGACTTCTCACCGTATGTATGCAAAAGCTAGAAGCAAAAATAGTGTGTGTGGGAATTGGACTCTGAAGCCGCAATCCTCAAAGTATGGTTCAGGGACTCCAAGGAGTTCCCAGAGCCCTTTCACGTGGTCTACAAAATCAAATCTAATCCCACAATATGAGTAAGCAGTTATATATAATTTTCACTTCATTCTCTCATGAATATGCAGTGGAGTCTTCCAAAGTTTACAAAACATGTGATGTTTCAACAGGCTGAATGCAAAAGCCTCTAACAGGATTCACGTATCATAAATATAGCCCAGTATTAAAGAAGCTTGCCAAAAAGATGTTTTTAACAATTTCAGACTTTCACTATTTTGTTTGGAATATATATCTTCATAAGTCTACTTGTAATGTTAATATGTTATGACTTTATCATTTTTATTTTTCAATGAATCCGTACATTGTTCAAATTGTCTCTGTTTTACTTTTAACACAAGAAATAGCAGATGTAGCATATATAGCCAAAAGTTCTTCCGAGCCTTCATTAAGCTCCACATTTATTTAAAGGAGTATTGAATTAAAAACTTTGAGAACTACTTGAAAGGCACACTGACCAGGTCCACGTCCGCACACCCTGACTGTCAGGTAGCAGTTACTCGGTTGAGCATTCCCTGCTCCTTGGGATGAATGTTCAAGACAGAAGCCGGGAGGGAAGAGATGCTAAAGAGTTCCCTACCTTATGCCAAAGTGGGTCATAAAGAGCTAAAAATAATATTAGTAAGATTTTAGCACTTGTTCATTTTTTGTATTTTTTAAAGATCATTGTTATATATCCTCATTCAATAAATATGAATTATGTGATAAGTATGTTTCAGTTAGCATTGTCAGGGTCAGTGAATTTAAGTAAAAATAGCTCATATTCCATTTTATCTTCAAGACTCCAAATATATCGGGAGAGAAACACCCCCATGAGGTTCCACACAGGTCCTAAAAGAGGGGCAAATGTGTGCAGCATTCTTCAGAGCGAGACATCACTGAGCCAAAGTGATGGGGGAAGAAACCAGACTAAGGGAGGCCAAACCACTGTGTTTGAGCCTCAGACGAAGGATTGGGAAAGAAGACACACCAGGGAAAAGGAATGGCTTTCGCGCAAATGAAGTACAAATGAGGGGGTCCTTCAATGGGATGGGTGACCGCGTGGCTGCAACGCTGGTGTCAACCAAAGGACAAAGGTGAAGGCAGGCTGGGACCAGGCAGTGTTCATTCCGTTGTTTATCGGGGTGGCTACAAGTTGGGAGTCACTCCACAGCACCTAACAACCGCCACAAAACAGGTCCAGGTCCGAGGGAGCAGTTTATTGGACGTGCACACCATGTTGAAGAGAGTAGAGATGGGTAAGCCAGGGGAGGCAAAAGCCTTCGGGCATTTTCAGTTTTCAGGAAGAGTCCAGGGGATAAGAAGCATCCCGATGAAAGGAGACTCATCGGGTCCCAGTGGCAAAATGAATGGATAGGAGAAGAGGAGTCCGTGAGACTATTTAGAGCAATACTGTTGAAGAGGAACACATACCTGCTCGGAGAAATGCCATAGAGGCGGCTGTCCATCAGGGCAACGGTCCTTAATCATCGGAGGGCAGTGGATCCTCAGAAAATGTGTTCACTATAAACCCGCATCTGAAATAAAAGTACTTTGAACACTTGCCCACACTTGCAGGCACTCTTACAAGTCCACCTATGGACCCAAGTTTCAGAACCACGTCGTTGCTTACTTCTTGTCACATTCAGGGGAGTCAGAGAATTAAAGTGCCCGTGACATTCCCCAACCCGAGGAAACAAGTCCGTGCTGGAGTTCTCCGTGACATTCGGCAACTCCTCTGACCTTGTAATCACAAAGGATTAGAGAAATCCTATTTTTTAAGGAAAAAAAATCGTCGAATTTTATTTTCTTTACCATCTAGCAGGTTTCACTCAAAACTAGGCAGATTCCACATGTCTATTTTTCTCTCAGTTGTCTCTCCCGCCTGTCGCCCCTAATGACTGTGACCTTAGTGACCTTCCAGAATATCCATATGGCCTGTTTTTGTGTTGTTTTGTTTTTCTCTACTGAGCACCACCATACCTGCTACACAAGGGTTTGCATCTCATAATAGTGTTCCTAAGCCTGGTCTTTCTCACTGCTTGGCATTGTGTGCCTGCCATGAGACCGGGCTGGCTCGTAAAACATCTCTTTATGTACTTTATTACTTAAACTCTTTTATTTGCCTGCAGGAGCCCTTTAACAAAATCACATTGAATTGACTTTCTCACACCAAATCAAATCTCCCTGGTCCCAGTTCAGTTGTCTTTGTCAATATGTATTTTATAAATGGAGTGAATTAACAGATGCTGTTGGCACAGAAGTGCTAGGGTAGCATTTATGTTTTTAGTGCTCTCTCTGGGCAGATGAGTTGTGTAGGAGTGCGATACAGGTAGCTCAGGATGAAAGTCATGCCCATCATTTCAGCGGATATGGAATTCTTAACCATTTCCTTTGAATGTATTTTAAACTTTTTGATTGCTCTCCCCCTCCCCTTTGTGTTTGCTGATGTGGATTTATCATTTATGCCCCTATCTTGAATTATGTCCCTTGGTATTTAAAAGATTAAAATTAAAGTCTCACTAACATCCAAAGAGGACAGGGTTTTCTGTTAGCCATGAGACACTGATCATGACACCCCTATGGTATATATCACCTTATTTCTATTGTAAATCTTATCATGCAGACTTTGCTATGAAACTCTGGGTGGCAATTGCTTTGGAATAGAACAGAGGAGCCACATCCTAGACTCTGCCTTCAGTAGAATGGATCGTGTTCATGATTTATTATATAAGAAATTGGGAAATTGGGGAGGAGGGTGAGAATAGCTACAATGCAGCATGGTTTTAGAGTTGCATTGAGAGACTATCTCCTCCAAGATTTCCATGTTCCACAATGAGCTTTTGAAACGTGTAATGTATCATTGCTAAAATAGATCACAGGGATAGGGTGTGGGGAGGTGGCACATTTACTCTACTCTTCCTCTTTCACCCTTTTGTGCTTGTAACCATAAAGACCTCTTTTGGTTACACAAGCTTTCATTTCTTGTCTCTCATGCTTCTTCACCAATTTTACTAATTTATCCTAAGAATGATGAATCACAAACCTTTGAGAGGTTTACTTTGTTTTCTTTTCTTCCTGTTTGTTTTTGTATTTGTTTTATTTGGGGATCATTCCTCAAGGTCTAAAGCATAATCCCTTGTGAAAGGTGGTCTGATGGCCAATTTCAGAGTCCCATAGAGACCAGTCATATTCTAAACTCTGGTTTTGCTACTGCACTATTTTTGTCTCAAAATAAGTATTCCTAATTCTCGGTCTTCTTTTAGAAAAAGTAAGTACCGCCTTTGCATATTTAACAGTTTAGAGGTCTATTGGACGCCTGTATTGATAAATTCGTTCCTTGTCAGTTCTGGGCATTAAATAGCTGTGCAGTTGTAATACTGTGAGCAAAGTAGTCTTTCCTCCATTGTTTTCTCAGTTACACACAATGCAGTTGAACCAATCCAAGGAAAGGCAAGCTATTCTGTTTGATCTGAAGCCTCTAATCATTCGATGTGTATTGTACCACTTCACTAACATCTGCATCCTGTTCCAAGGGACTTGCCACCTTTGTACAATTTTAATGAAATACCTCTGGAAGCATAGACTCATCCATCAACAATACATGACCTATTTTGTTTTTCTCTGGACATATTTAAAATTGTGCATTCTACGTGTCAAAGTTCAAAAGTCAAGTGCTACATGTGATAAATTAGGTCGGGGTCAAAAGTTATTGCAATGCAGTTTCAGAAGATTGTCTCTCTCTGAATTTGCAGCTCATTCATGCTGAAGTGATGCACGATGGGAATTACTACCCAACTCTGCTCTGCAACATCTGCTCGCCCTAAGTGAGTTAGTGCACGTCAGACACCTTTCTGTCAGAATACTGCAGTGATGGATGCAGTCCTCAGAAAATGCTGCATAAAAATCTGGTGTGCCGTTCTGGCCATTAAGTGAAATTACTATTTAAATTAATGGCACTGTCACAGTTTATCTGTGCAAAGAATGAGCGCTGATTAGGGTATTAAGTAATTAGCAATTTATCACACTGGAACAAGGTTGATAATAATTAAAGAAGTAATGGTTTACCAAAGAAACTAGAAAGGGAGTCACTTCTTGTTACGTGAGTGAAACCTTAGCTGAAAATTGTAATTCAGTTAAACAAAGACGAAGCCCTGTGTGGATGGAAGCTTCCTTTGTCAAGTGCAAGAAAAGAGATCCTTATCAAAATTTTAGTTGACCTGTCAAAAGTCCCTCAGACTGATTAGGATTTTTCAAATTAGGTCGATGTTTGCATTTTGATTTTATACTTTAAGCTTGGTGAAAGCAGAAACTAATCTGGGGGGGCGGCGGGGGGGAGACTGGGTTCGGCTTCCTAAAGAGCTGGTTTGCGGATTTTGATTGCTCTTTAAAATAGAAACACGAATTGCTTTAAGCATGCTACTCGAGGAAAACAACTGACAGCACAGCATCTAAAGCTGTACGTTGTGTTAAAATGTCAGAAGGCAGCAGAAAAATGTCCAAACAAAATAAAACTTGAAGGTGTGTGTGTGTGTGTGTGTGTGTGTGTGTGTGTGTGTAAAACCAAAACTCAGGTTACAATAGTAGCCTTAGTCTGTGTATTGTGTGTTTATTGGCGAGAACTTTTCCTGGGAATCAATAAAAAGTATGACTAAAATCCCTAGGAAAGGACCTGTTTTTCTTCCAATTACTTTGAAGAGTTATCACACACACACAAGCACGGCCTGTCGAAGCTCAGCAATAATCAGTGTAATTCATTAACCATACATAAAAGGTTTGTATTTGAAGATAACAAGTTTTTATAGTCCCAAGTTCAATAGCAGGGTTCTTTGGGGTTATATGCAGATAAACATCTGTCTCAAGGAATGTGTCCGCCAGTGCCGCCTTTTACCGATGAGCCAAATGCCTAAAACTCGTTGGTCTATTACTAGGAATGTCTTTAAAATTAGGTGTTTGTCTGGGACCAGATTAAACAATGAGGGTCCCTAGGGGCACTTTGAATTGGAGGATGTTTATGTTGTCAGCCGGGACTAATAATAAATAAACAAAATTCTAATGAAAATAAATCAGTCATCACATGTGCGGCTCTATCACTGAGTGTAGTCTTGAAAGAGCATCCTGTGACAAGGCTGTAGGCACCTTCATTGCTAGCTGAATCTGACTGTGGTATTGTTCTTGATTCCTGCCTTAATGTCCACATCCTCCTGTACATGTTCTGTGGCACTATCTAAGCGATGTGACCACCGACAGTTAAACTCAGCAGGAGAAGAGTAGATGGACCCCTGTGATTTGGAGATCCCTGATGCTTTGTCAGGTGAGGCGATCTCCCTCCACCCCACCCTCAGCCATCTCTCATCATAGTTCTAGTACACAGTGGGGTGTATAAGTAGATAGAGGCTGGTTGATGGGTCTGATGAGTCTGACCAGTCAACATGCTCAGCCAGTAGATACCAAACCTATCTCCGAAAGAAAGAATAGTTACAGTAGCTACTGGTTCACAAGAAGCAACTTTTTTTTTCACCCTCGACCAGGGAGAGCATGTAATAGTTAAGTGCTTGGCTGCTAACGTGAAGGTGGGTGGGTCAAACCCAGCCAGCAGCTCCAAGGGAGAAAGACCTGGTGGTCTGCTCCTATAATGTTATAGCCTAGGAATGTGGGAGGGCAGTTCCACTCTGTCACGTGAGTTGAAATGCAAAGAAGAGCAACTAGCACCAAAGAAAATCCAAAATGACAAGAAGCCACACTCATTGACATCTAATTTTACTGATTGCCATCTAATTTTGACTCATAGCAACCCTATGAGATGCATTAGAATGGTCCCACAGGGTTCCCAAGACTGTATGTAAATCTTTTTTCTTATCATTTTATTGGGGGCTCATACAACTCATCACAATCCATACATCCATCCATTGTGTCAAGCACATTTGTACATATGTTGCCATCATCATTCTCAAAACATTTGCTTTCTACTTGAGCCCTTGGTATCAGCTCCTCATTTTCCCCTCCCTCCCAGCTCCTTCCTCCCCCTGTATGTAAATCTTGATGGTGGCCTGCAGACCCGTCTTTCTCCAGTGGAGAGGTTGCCGGGTTCCAACCACCGTCTTTCCATTATCCACAAGGCGCTCCACCCCTGCACCCCCAGGGATCCGCAGTCACAAGCAAACCCTTACCCCGCTCCTCAGACCCAGTCTCTGGCGCTCACTCCTGGTATGACCTTCCTGTGCGCCCCGCCTGGTATTCCCAGAATGCATGCGCAAAGCGACCTTCTCTACCCTGTGTATTTCCAGAACCATCTAGGAGACCCTGTAGTCAAAATGACTTTATTTTGCCATAAGATGTTATCATCAGAATATGGACGGGCAGTTTTTAATGACAAATCAGATTTTTTTTTTTTTTAATGGTTCATTGGAGAAGTTTGGCTTGGCAGATTGAGTTCGGAGCACTTTCTCTTAGGTGTTCTCTCCCTAATGAGTGTCTGGTGGTTTTAGTAAAATGAACCCCGCGCTGCACATTTAAATCACCTTTGTAAGGAAACTCTGCCTTAGTAGTTCCACCATTTCAGCAACTGCCTGAGTCTGACATTTTGATGCCAAACTTTACAGCAGCCTCAGTTTCCTTCCTTTATTTATTTCATATTCACATGTAAGACTGTATTGTTGCAGGGATGCTCTGTTGTGGGCAGGATTATGTGAATATGTCGGATACCATATGCTGCTCGGCTTCCAGTGGAGAGTCTAAAGCCCATGCTAAAAAGGGTGACCCGGTGCCAGTGAAATGCTGTGAAACTGAACTTATCCCAGAGAGCCAGCGATGCTGCGATGGAGTTGGATATAATCCTTTGAAATATGTTTGCTCTGACAAGATTTCACCTGGAATGATGATGAAGGTAATTGATAGAAAGCTTCTTGGAGGCTCCGATTTGACAATGGAAAGAGAAATACATTGTTCATCACTATTTTTCTAAAATAGGAATATTAAAAAAAACCTCCTGTGTGCATTATTCATTTTCACATTATATCCATATTAATACCGAATGAGTTCACTGTGATTGATGTTATTGCAATGAATTCTAAAGGAATTAATAATGCTTAGCTGTTCTCGGGAAGCTTTGCCCAGCGCTCCAGATTAGTGCAGGTAAGTCCGTGGGCTGAAAGATCTCACGCACGGGGTCTGGGGCATCTGCAAGAAGGTGATTTCATGCAATAGGGTGCCGAAGATGGAGACTGAGGGAAAGTTCTGCACTCTAACGTCCGTAGCCGCAACCCACTTCCACTTGCAATGGAGATGGCAAATCCAGCAATATCCAGTGGTGTGTCTATCATTCCTGGGAACAGAGCCAGATGAGCGCACATCCCTGTCCTCTAGGAAAGGGACGGGCCCAGACATGACACGTACAGTGGTGCGTCACCTACAAGGAGGCTTAGCAAGTTTTGTGGGGAAAAAATCCGATATAAAAATAATGGACTTTTTCCCTGAGCTTGTTGAAGTCCCCACGTAGAACTGGGTCGTGTTTGTTAGCATTGCGTGTGGCCCAGGACTTCAGAACAAACATAACAAGGACAGGAGTATGGCAATTAACAGCAAAGCAAGCAAGCAAACAAAGCAACAACAGCAATACCATCAAGTCTACCGTGTGCTGTGGTGATTTTTCATCGGGAGATGGCTGCAAACCGATGTCTGGGGGGCGGGGAATGAGGATGCCTTTAGAGGGATCAGACATTTGGGCATGTGAAATAACTATGAGATCGCACTTTATAATAATTAGGTATTAAGGGAACCTGTAAGGTTGCTAAAGAGATGGCCACTTTTGGAAGAGAATAGTCAGATGAAATATCCACACGCAAATATAGGTATTTGCCTGTGTTTTGCTAACTTGCTCACAACTTTAATCAACCGATTGAATGAAAGGCGCCTGACCAGGATTCTGTTCTCCAAGTTTGTCTATTCACGGGCAGTCCGGACAGACGTGGGGACAGTTGCTTTTGTCTTAATGCCTAGTATTGTTTGCTCTCAGAAGCTGTCAATGCTACAAGAACATGCCTTCCAGATGACTCGTCAGGAAACACCCATGTGTACATGAAAATAAAGCTGGAAAGCATGCCACTTTCAGAAATGCCACACTTGTTCACAATTACTCGTTTCATTATGTCCCCCCCTTATTTAGTACTAAGATTGGGATGGAGCATCTGATCGTGGTCTCAGTGAGATAAGAATAAGGAACAAACCTCTTATCATTCAGTCTACTGAGACTTATGACAACTCCGTATGTCACAGAGTAGAACTGCACCATGGGATTGTGCCTGTAATCCATTAACAACAGGACACTAGGCCTTTCTTCCAGAATGCCACCAGGTGGGTCCACCCTATCAACTTTTGGGTGATTCATTGAGCAGAAATTCTGTGTGCCACTCTGGCACCTACTTCAGGGGTGCAGAGTTCCATCATTTAAGGAAGGTGTTTAGGTGATATCATGATCTTCTGAACTGGCTGTGTGAAGGCCAATGAATAATGATATTAAACATTCACATTTAAGTTGTTATGACGAGGTGACGATTCCTTCCTGCTGCATCAAGCACAGGGAGGAGGGGTAAAGTGCATGTGGGCAGTTCCATTTTGCTCCCTGAAGCCTATTCTGGACTGTCTCCTTATAGAGTTTCTACAGTTTCCTTAAGCTGTTGACTCAGGAATTGTTTTCCATATCTCTGTTCTGAACTCCCAAGTTTCCCTCTTTCTTAGATTACTCTTTCATTATGAAGGATTCTCTTCCTTAGTAAAAGTTCATGGAAGGTACATTTTCTTGGCCATTGTCCTTGAGAGTTTACATGACATAGAAAAAGCACAAATATCTCAATCTCCAGTCTACTTCTTTGCCACTCCCTGCCTAACCACTAGTCAATATCTCTTCAAGCTGTTTTTATTTTTCTTATGGTAGCATCCAACTTCAAAGTACAAATCTATCTATCTATCTATCTATCTATCTATCTATCTATCTATCTATCTATCTATCATCATCTTTCAGAAACACTCGGTACCAAACATACTCACGTAGGCAGGGGCTCTTCAGTAGGATTTTTTCCTATTACTTTTCAATGTCGGTCAGGCAGCCCTGTCTCCTAGCAGTTCCCAGGGAACACAGGCACTGTACACACAGTCGCAGGACACCATGGAAGGGACGATGCAGGGGATAATTGTGCACTTATGGCACCTACCTCTATATACACAGTTCATTCATTGTACCCACTGGTCACCCTGATGGATGTATCCCGGAGGCTCCTCCTAGTGTAGTAAGCTTGGGAATCTAGTGCCCCAGGGACAAAACAACATGTTGAGCTTGGTCTCTGTCACATCACTTCCCAATTTCTAAGAATGCTTCAGATGTCCGAAGTGTAGGTATGCCCTCATTTTGCTAGTCTTCCAGTATTTAAACCATTTTTTCTCTGTTGTTGGTTGGGCTCCGATACAGATGTTTAATTAACCATGTTTGCATGGAGTCTTGGACTCCTACCGGGGACCCCTAGTGGTGTTCCTGGGTAAACAGCAACATCAGCAGTGCAAACCCATCCACTGCTGGATGGGAGAAAGGTGAGACTATCTGTCCTGTAAAGATTTAGCACCATAGAACCCTATGCAGAGTCACTCTGAGTTGCAATCTACTTGATGGGACTGGATGGTTTGATGAAATTTATAAGATAAAAGTATGCAGTTCTGAGAGGAAAAAGTACTGGAATAAATGTGACCATTTTAACTCATGATTCTGAGAACAATTTCATTTGTTTTATGTAATAGCGAGGTTGGCTGTAGACAGGTTTTCAATAGCAAAATGAAAAATAGCAAAATAAGAACTAGGTTTTATATGTGTTGTCCTCTTTATCAAAGAAGGGAGAGGAAGCAAAACCAGAGACAGCCTGAGTGGAGAACACTATCACCCCTCAACAACTGATCCACTAAAAATTCAAAAAATCAAAAACAGATCAAAATAACAGAAGGCAGGAAATTTGTTTGTTGACTGTTCCGAAGTAGGGAATATTATCAGAGACAAAACAGAAGCTGGGGAGACTTTCCTACTACCATGGGAGCACTCACTCACTCACTCACTGCAGCCATCCAGGGATGGGGCTGGGTAACAGTCCAGACAGGAGGCAAAGAAGAGGAGCTGATCTGAGGACAGGGGTGAGGGGAGACCTTGGTGCTGAGAGTGAATACTGCTGAAAGCTACCGAAGTCCACTATGCATGTGCAATGGGACCTGGAGAAACTTAAAAAGTAGCAATGTGAGGGGGCAATTCAGACTGACGAGGCACCAAGAGGGAAACCACGGCTAATGGGACTAAGAGCAGAGGAGTGCAGGAACCCCCAGAAGGAGAAGACAGAGAGCCTGCCACCTCTGGGCATAGAAAAGCCAAAACCACGGTGCTTACAGCAGTGTCTGCAGTCAAGCTATGCACTCCCTTCCGTACACCGGTATCTAGAACTTCTGAACATTGTTCAAAAGAATAGAATAGATAAAAGGAGAACTAAATGATTAGACATTAACAGAGAGAGAGATGAATAGCCTTCTAGTGGTTTCTGGAGAAAACACCCAATCTGCTACCCTGGGTTGATTCGGACGCAGAGTCACTGTGGGCCTGTGTGGAGGTGGGTCCCAGACAGCTTTGTCCCAGCAGCAACTGGTCGGTTTGCGCCAGTCTTTCCACTGGCAGATGCTTGTGTGACCATGACCAATCAGAAAAAAATCCCTAAATTCAAGAATGCAAGATGTAAAGGAAAAAAAAAAGATAAATAGCTGACCCAAATTCAACAAAAACATAGCAAACCCCACAAAAATCACAAAGAAGGCCAGTCAAAGCCAAAATAAAACATGAAGAAGAGGAAATGTTTCTTAAGCATGCTAAGAAAAATGATAATGTTCAGACTACGTTGCTAAGTATATTAAAAAGAATCAAAGGGCACAAAGAAAGCATACTAGTGGAAATCAGAAACTGGAAAAACAAAAATGGGAAGCTAATTATGAAAGTTCAAAACATTAAAAGAGCTATTGTTCATTTATGTAATATTCATAATGTAATATATATAGTAACCACTAAGAAATCACCATAAGAAAGCAGCGAGAGAAAAAAATCAAAAAAGATCATCACAGGAAAGCAGTCAAATACAAACTTAAACAGAAAAAAATCAGAGTTTAAAAAAAAAGAAAATATGAAGCATACAAAAAAGAAAAAAAACAAATAGCAAAATAAATGAGATAGACACTTCACTTTCAGTAGTAAACTTAAATGTAAATGTTCTTAAATGATAATATTAAAATGATACAATTTTGTTTTGCCAACAAGAGGCACACTTTAAACATATGAACAGAAAAAAATAAAGGGTGGAGAAAAATATTCCCTGCAACAAATAAGCAAAAAAGACCAGGGTAGTCATGTATGCACCAGATAAAATAGATTGTAAACAAAATTTATTGCAAGAGATATGGAAGGACATTACACAATAATAAAAGGGTCAATCTATCAAGAAGACATAATCATAAATATGTGGAGGCACAATATATTTGTGTAAAATGGAATTAAAAGAATTAAATTTCTACATGAACTTTTGAAGGTCTTTTCATATATACACCTAAAGCAGTACACCAGATACATAAAATCACTACTGACCAATAAAAAGAGAAAGAGACAACTCTGCAATAGTAGGACTATTGCAGACAAGTTCTGCAATAGTAAGACTATTGTAGAATAGTGGAGAACTTAAACACACCACTTTCAACTATAGGCAAGCAGAACCAGACAATTATAAAGAGAACATCTGAAAAGATCACTAACGACATGGAGAATTTTAATAAAGTCATAAGTACTTTTGTATTCTATTGGAATTTTCCAGTTTTGTTTCCAACACCAAAGCCATATTTTCCAACTACCGCTCTTTCTTTTTTCCATCTTTCACATTCCAATAATCAATAATTACCAGTGTATCTTGATCTCATGTTTTATCTATTTCAGAAGGAAAATATCAGTAGAATTCTTCAACTTCTCACTAATGTTACTGGTTGGTGCATAATTTGAATAAGAGTTTTATTACCTGGACTTCCTTGTAGGCATTATAGATATTATCCTGTCACAGACAGCACTGCACTTCAACAGAGATCTTGAAATGTTCTTTGTTATGAGGGACGTGATGTCATTCTTCTGGAGCTTGTCGTTCCCAGCATAGTACACCAGATGACCGTGAGACTCGAAATGGCCAATTTCACCTCACCTATGCCTAGGATATCGATCTTTATGCCTTATATTTAATTCTTCATGATTTCCAATTTTCCTAGAATCATGCTTTGTGCATTCCATGTTTCAATTGTCTATGAGTATTTGCAGCTGTTTCTTCTTCTTTTGAGTTTTCCTCGATCAGGAAATGAAGATCTTCAAAGGGTTTTCCCTCCATGCCGATGCAGTGGCTTCTACTCTGAAGAGGCAGCACTTCCTTCCCCAGTGTTGTTTGGAATGCTTCCTGTCTTTTGAGGATCATATTCTGGCAATGTTCCCTGCCCTTCACAAGGGTTTCAGTGTCTAAGTTTTTGTGAGTGAATCACCTCGTTCTTCTTCAGGTTTAGTCTGAAAGCTCTGCTTGTACTTGTCCACCCGGGTTAACCTTCTGGGATTCAAAGTACTGCTCGCATTCTTTCCAGCATTGCAGCAAAATGCAGATTACCGCAATTCAACAAACTCACAGACAAATTGTGGGTAAAAGACCCTAGAGACCTAAAATTAGTGGCACACACAGACACATATTTTCATACCTATGTTCACTGCTGCTTTATTCACAGCAGCAAATATATAGAAGCCACCAAAGTTATCATCAATGAATGAGTAGACAGGCAAATTGTGCTATATACATACAATGGAATACTGTACAACCATAAAAAACAAGGATGAGTCCATGAAACATGGCATAACATGGATAGACCTGGCGGGCATAATGCTATGTGTTAAATAAAGAAAAGACCAGATAAATATAGAGAAAGGCTAATGTTTATTAATAGCTACCAGAATGAAAGGAGGAGTGAGGGAAAATGTGCTTCATATCCCAACAACATGTTACTTTTTATGATAGGAAAATTAGCACTACCTTTGGATGTAGTTTTTACAAACAATGTAAAAAATGTGTGTTGCATATATAGGTGAGTAAAAACATGTTATAAATGGATAAGCACAGTCTAGAACAGACAAGTATCATTAGGTAAATGCAAATACACATATGTGAGTGCAGGCACATATAATCATAGCAGACACAGGTTCTCCACAGATTCAACTAAATATATTCCAAGACTGATGTTCTAGGGCTGCAAGTTAGAACTGTAAAGCCATAGACTTGGTCACCTGGAAACACAGCTCATAAAAGCATGACCTGCTGAGGCGGGCTCGGGGACAGAAGCCTCCGTGGAGCAGACGGGCAAAAGCTCGCTTGATCTTGATTTTCAGTAGAATACAGACCGTGAAGGTGGGGCCTCACGATCCTTCTGACCTTTGGGGTGTTAAGCAGGAGGTGTCAGAAAAGTTACCACAGGGATAACTGGCTTGTGGCGGCCAAGCGTTCATAGCAACATCGCTTTTTGATCCTTCGATGTCGGCTAAAAAAGAAAACGAAAAAAAGCAGGATCTGCAGATTAGGGGCTTTGGGACCTTAAAAGCTTCCCACTGGCCATTTAATTAAAAAAAAAAAAAAAACAAGAAAGGAAAGCTACAGGTTACTACTCACCAGGAGCAAAGCTGTAGCAAAGCAGCTAAAAACCTGCAGAGGAAACGTCCACGTGGGCCTCAACTTCATCTACGCTAAAACCAGAAGAATTAGATGCTACTCAAATACCACCAGTGACTGGTCTGTCTGAGCTTACCATAGTTGGCTGGTCCCAGATAAAATGAGAGAAAAGTCTGAATAAGAACTCAAATTCTAATTTTTTTTAAAAAGGCAACATTGGAACAGTAGAGAGCAAGAGGATTCTCTGAGTGTTTTACCTTGAGACACTCTTCACACCAAGCCTAGCCCCTGAAATCACCTTTAGCAAACTAGCAGAGTGGAACATAAAATGATGGCCATTACCCTTACAGTCGGTGTCCTGCTTAAAAAATAGCAGTATGCGATCACAAGGCTAACAGTTCCTCAAAAGGAAAGATGGGAACATAAGGGCCAGGGAGGCTAGAGCACCAGAAAGGGGAACAATCTGAGCCCACCTGAAGAGAATGTTGACCCCGTGTGTCAATGTAAGTAGTATCACGAAGCAGTTTTTGTGGAAGTCCTCAGATGGGAAACGTCATTTGCTTGTAGTCTTTTACCAAAAAGTGCCATAATATGTTATTTTCAAAAAAAAGAAAGAATAAGCATATGTCCTATGGACAGGTGCTGACATTGAGGATGTTTGAGGGTGGTTTTTTTTATTTTCAAAGTCTAGCACACAGTTATTTGGCAATAACTGCAAAGTTAAAAGCTTCATCAGAGAAATAGATCCATCGAGTTTTTATATGTACACATGATTATATCGATAATGATGCCTGATGAAATATTTAGATTTTCTAAGGCTTACATGAAGTATACCTTATGGTTTAAAATCTGTCATGGGTGCAACTTTCCCATGAATACAGGAAAGTACAGATGCTCAAATATCACATCCTGTAGTTTTCTCTAAAATACAAATAGAGGAGTACATCAATGTAGCAATAATAAAATAGCGACTATTGTTTTTATGATGTATCTACTAAGACTCAGGCCTTTTATAGACGGTTCATACCACACACTATAGGGCAAATTTTATTTCTATTTTTCCCAATAAAGAAACTGAGGCTTTGAGAGCATAAAGGACTCCTTCAAGGTCACAGAAGTAGGATGTTACAAAACCGGATTTTGAAACCACATCTCTGTCATTTCAAAGTAGCTTCTCTTTATAGTATACAAACTACCTTCATTTCTTTTTATGACTTTTCAGTCATTCATGAACTATGTGAAAGAAAATTTCATTGGAACGTTATGTTGTAAAAACTTACCCAACATATGTTTGAACTCACCCTTAAAATAACCTTCTTCCTCTCTCTTCATCCCTTCTATTTGATTTAGGAAACCAGTCAGTGCGTGACTCTCTGCCCAGCTGCCATGGAGGCCACAGCACATTGTGGCAAGTGTGACTTCAACTTTAGCAGCCAAGTCTGCGTTGTAATAAAAGGGCCTCACAATTCCACAGAGAAGACATCAGTGGAAGAACTATGCCCCTCCGCTGAAGAACGTGTGCATACAGGGAGCGCAAACATTTATTCCTTTACAGGTAAGACAGTGAGCGATCTACCCTGTAGATATAGTCAAAAGGTGTAATAAAATGCAAATATATTTCATTCTGGGCATCACGTCTCTCCTTATCTTAATATCAATGGAATCCATCATGTTTTGGGGTTAGCTAATTGCAAGGTAATTAAGGTATAATTTGGACTTATTCAAAGTTAGTAGTTTAAATATTTTTTAAAGTCTAACTTACACAAGCATACATGTTACTTTTAAATTAATCTGGAGAGACTAGAGAACAGAGGAACGAGTGACTTAATAGCACGGTCCTGGTATAGTCTGCTTATGGCGTTCGGTGGAAATTAAATTTGAATGGACTAAATTTTCTTATATCGACATTCATATGTACACTTTGAATAAATACAATGAATGTTGCTTGCACTGCAAGCAGAAAAGAGGGTACGGTCAAGTTCTGTGGTGTTTTAAACCCCTACTGAATTTACCCTCAAATTAATAGTATGCATATGATAAGGTGGCAGTTGAGAAATTTGAGGGTCTGAACTGAAAATATAACTTCGTGTGCTAAAGGATACATACTCAAATCATGACATTTGCAAGAGAGTCAGATGTGGAAGACTCCGTATGGTCTGGGAACTCCTTTCAGACTTCTGTGCACCACCCTCAAACTGCTCCTTCCACTTGAAATGTTCAGAATCCTCCACTTCAAGGTGCAGGTCCAGATTTTTCTCCTCAGGTAGCTTCCCAAGCCCATCTCCCTCTCTGCACTGCACTGCGATGACACGCCTCGTTCAACGTTCACGCCATCTACCGTACGCCATATGCACTTCTCTCCAATTCGATGGAAATAGCCTAATGACCAGTATGTGCTCGCTTAACTTTACTTCAGTATTTGACTTTAGGACATTGCAAATAAAGATTAATAATATTGATTGGAATGAGGTGAATTAGCGAGGTCTCCAGACACAAGACAATTTGTCCCGTTCTCTATCTCTTCCCACCTCATCACAGATTTAAATTATGGACCCACATTTAAAAATCATTCCATTTCAAGCTATGAAATGCACTACTTAAATCCACCCCCCACCAAAAATAAAAGACAATATTTCAAATTGTTTTAAAGACACACTTAAAATAGCCCTCTCCAGAGTAAATGTGTGTTTCCCATTGCCACATAGAATTAAAAATCTCAGAAACTCACAAGGGCCGTTCTTCCCTGACCTAGAAGGTCGCGCTAAGTTGCAGTGGAATCGATGGCAGTGACTCTTGACTTTGATTAACATAATACTTTGTGTCCTTTATTATGCTTATTCCCTACTGTGCTCCTGACCAGCAAATGCTATAAGTGGAATATGAAAAATAGCAAATCTTTCATTATCATGAAAAAAAATTAACACAATTAACAAACTGATTCAAAGACATATTGTATGGGGATCAATTTAGATGGGAAAATAAGCCTTTATTTAAAGAAATTTATGATTGGGGACTCGCAATACCAATACTGACCAAAATCTATCATTCATCTATGAAAAAAATATGTATTAACTACCTACAAGATGCCATTACCAGGTATTGTCATACAAATGTAAATCGCGTACTAGGACCTGAACTTATAAGGTAAAGAAGAAACAGCCCTATTCACCAGGAACTTGAAGCATATGTACATGGAAGTGACTGCATGCTTACACTATAATGTGATGAATAGTATGCCTGCCAGTACTGTGATAAAATTTATAAATATTTGAACAGTGTTGTAAGGACACCCAGGTATAACTGGAACAGTTAGGAAAGACTTCTCAAGGGTTATATTGCCGGATCTCAGCACGGAAGGACAATAGAAACCTACTACATAAGAAGTTCAAGGTCTCGGATCCTGCGTGAGTTGTAAGACAAGTAGAAGCCTCCCAGATTTGGGGAAGGTAGACCCAAAAGAGAACGAACATACACAATGTCCAAAAAATGATAGAAAATCCAACTAGTAAGTACCTCATTATTGCTTCTGAAATTATTAAAATCTAACACTTTTCTAAGGCTTTTCATCAACAACACCACTGTGGTCCGTTTCTTTTAGCTTGTAGATGTTAGTGCCACCGAGTAGATTCCAACAACAGAATGAAACGCTGCTGGGTCCTGCACCACGCTCACAGTCGTCCTATGCTTGCGCCCATTGCTTCAGCCACTCTGTCAATCTTATCTTCATGAGGGCATTCCTCTTTTTCCTTGACCCTGTTATTTACCACACATGTCCATTCCTAGGCATTGGTCTCTCCAGCCAACATGCCCCAAGTATGTCAGAAGAAGGGCTGCTGTCCTTCCCTCTAAGGAGCACACTCGCCATCCTTCTTCCCAGAGAGATTTGCTTGTTCTTTCCGGCAATCCGTGTTCTTTGGCAGTTCCGTCAAGAATCAAAAGCATTGCTTCTTCTTCATTCTTCCTTATTCAATGTCCAACTTTCATATGCATATGAGCCAATTGAAAATACCTTCACTTGGGTATTATTTTTTCCTCAAAGGAACAAACATCCTTGCTTTCAATATTCTAATGAGGTCTTGTACAGCAGATTTTCCCAATGCAATGTCTCATTTGATCTCTTGACTGCTGCTTTCATGAGCATTGATTGTGGATCCAACAAGATAAAATCCCTGATAACTTCAATCTTTTCACCATTGATCCATTTATGATGTTATCTATTGGTGCAATTATGAGGGTTTTCATCTTCTGACATTACATTGCAATCCATCATCACACAAGCCACCACAGTGCAATAAAGTGGCACAAGTAGTAGGCCCATTTTATAATAGCCCTAAATATAAGGCCTACAAGGCTTTAGAAATCTTTAAAGGGACAGATTCACACTGCCTGCATGGAGTCATTCCTACTCACAGTGACTTGATAGCACGGGTTAGAACTGCCCCTGTAAGTATTGAAGAGTAGCTCTTGTTTTTTGTTTGTTTTATTTTTTTTATTTTTAAATTTTTTTAAAACATTTTATTAGGGGCTCATACAACTGTTATCGCAATCCATACACACATCAATTGTGTAAAGCACATTTGTATATCATTCTCA